TATATATATATTTATATATCAAATTTTATCAAATATATATATCAAATATCAAATATAATATCAAATATATCAAATTATCAAATATAATATCAAATATATATATTTATATATATAAATATATATATATAAATATATATATATTTGATATATAAATTTGATAGTATATATAAATTTGATATATAAAATTTGATATATAAATTTGATAGTATAAAAACTGATAGTATAAAAATTTTATATACCAATCTCACCACCTTCCCCTTTTTTCAACCTCTGCTTACTAAGTCATTGCTCAATGTGCTATATATAATGGGTTCCTAGCACATACAGTGGGTACCTAATAAGTATTTGGTGAGACAAATCTTTTATTCAGATTCTATGTTTTCATATTCTTCAGTTGTCATAGTATGTTCTGATTATTCCAAGATACCCAGATAAGATGAAAAATGCTCTTCATTGTTAAAGAAACTGGTGTCAGTAGGAACAAAGTAAATATAAGTCAGGCACAAACTTTTTGCTAGAAATTATTTGCAAGTCCTTCCTTCAGCCTAATGAATATAATGGGCAAGATGATTCATTAGAAGGTAGAAGGGCAGGGGTTAAATAGACCCTGGCTTTGCCTCTGGAAGAGTTTCTCTCTGTGTGAAGCATACTGACCCAGGCAAGAGCCAACCATCCAACCTTAGTCTCATTGGCCCCTTGTTCAGCAAACACAATCAACCAGCCCATGTGAACGCGAGTGTGTGAAACACTGCACACAGCGAGTCTTTGCAGGATGAGTACAAATAAAGAATTTGCTTGTGATAAAGGAATTTATCACATCAAATAAAGAAGGTATGTTAGGGCTTTCTGAATGATTTAAATTTTGTTTTGTTTTGTTTTGGAAGTTTGCTATTTTCCATTTTGGGGGTGGTGAAGGAGGTTGTTTGTTTATCATTAAGAGAAACCATCTGACATATCACATTCAGTCAAGCAAATATTGAACCATCAGCTGATTTGCTAGGAGAGGACACAAGGATTTTAATGGAAAGTTCTTGCCCTCAGTAAGCTTAGAGTTGTGCTGCCTGGGAGACATAATTAAGTTATTAAACTAAAAAGTTTTAAAACTGGGCTTCCCTGGTGGCGCAGTGGTTGAGAGTCCGCCTGCCAATGCAGGGCACACGGGTTTGTGCCCCGGTCCGGGAAGATCCCACGTGCCGCGGAGCGGCTGGGCCCGTGAGCCATGGCCGCTGAGCCTGCGCGTCCGGAGCCCATACTCCGCAATGGGAGAGGCCACAGCAGTGAGAGGCCTGCGTACCGCAAAAAAACAAACAAACAAACAAGCAAAAGCTATGTAATACTTACAGGTATAGAGTTTAGAAAAGGGAGGGATGGAGGTGGATGCGAGTATGCAAGTTAACAGTTTATGCAAGAGGTGACACAGTGAGAGAGGTGGGTACTGGTGTCCCATCATGAGTCAAAGTGAGATGACAAGATTTGGACTTGACTGAGCAACTGATGGAGTGTACCCACCAGAAGTCCTTCTTGGCCTGAGGAAGCTTGTGGAAGAACTTGCTGGAGGGGGATCCCAGAACAGCCTATGACCTCTGAGAGGAGAGGGGGTGTAAGAGCAGCATGCAATTAAAAATGCAGAGTTGGGCTTCCCTGGTGGCGCAGTGGTTGAGAGTCCACCTGCCGATGCAGGGGATTCGGGTTCGTGCCCCGGTCCGGGAGGGTCC